TCCACGGGGGGGGCGCACGGGGGGTGAGCGCTGCCGCCGTTTTCGTTCCTGGGGGGAGGGCAGGGGGAGGGGGGTTAGTGGGTGCTGATGATGCACTGGGCGGCGGAGGGCACCGCGCCATGCTGTTTGCGTTAACACGGCGTGATAGGCGTTGCGGAGCTCATCGGCAGCACTGCTGCGTGTGACGGCTCGCACCACTTTCTGAGCAGACCCACAGAGTCATAGGCTTGAACAGCTTGATTTGTGCATAGACTTACTCCAAATTACCAGCCCCAAAGTGTTGAACAGTGAAGACAGCGGCACAAAGACTTTCCTCACACAAAAGACACGCTCGCTCAACAGCGCCGTGTCGAAGGACAGCACGCGCTGCGGCTGAGCACTGCGGCAATCTCGTCCAGCTCCATGTCCGCATCTCACGTGATTCACCGCGAAGTACCTCAATCGTTGCTGTGGGCGATCTGCACTCATACCTTTCACCTAAACATCAACAACACGTGCTGCTGAGGAAGAGCACGCGCGCTGCGCTGAGCACTGCCGCAATCACCTGTCCTCGTCCAGCTCCATATCCGCCTCCTCTCCGCCACGCCGCCCGCCGAGCACTGCCGCCGCCGTCACCGCTGCCTCCTCAGCCGCCAGCAGCACTGTCACCTCAAAGTAGTACGTGTCCGCGTGCTCCGGCAGCGGCTCGTCGGCGCACACGCAGCCGACGTCGTGCGCGTGGTTCGCGCGCCCGCGATACCGCGCCGCCAGCTGCGGCGCACGAGCACGGAATGACTGGTGGACTTAGCAAACAGTATTTCAATATAAGTTTCAACAGTCTTCATGAAGTAGAAGGTCCTCTTCGAAAATTAGAACTCGTTAATCGTGCGTGCGTGCGCGTGAGTGAGTGAGCGAGGCGCGCTGCTGCATGGCGGCGACGCGGCGCTGGCGTCGCATGGGGCGGCGACAGCGCGTGATGCCGGGCGGCGCCGGGGCGGTGCACGCGGCAGCGGACGCGTGCGCGCACTGCCCGTCTCGGGTGTGGTGGGCGATGGCAGTGAGTAAGCGCCAGTGCAACTCTGACCCTGAGTATACTCCTCAATGCGATGCTACCCCTGTCCCTAATTCGATGAGCGCGTGCTCTGCGATCATCGGCACAGCCGTCAGCGGCGCACCACATTTGTGCACAGGGACTGCTGTGATGCTGCGTCTGCTGGTGCCTCGTGTTGAGACTATGTAGCAGGAGGGCGTGCATACATTAGTGGCTCACGATACACGGCACATTGCTCAGGGCCTGTGTGCGTTGCGTGGCGGGCACAGCGCAGCACCCAACGCGAGCGTTGCGAACAGTCGCTATGTTGAGCATAGATGAGGCAGCACACAGGCAAGATCGTGAGCTCCGGAGAGTGTGACTGCTGGCAAACACGCACCGCGCAGCAAATCGTCATCACAGAATGCTCCCACGCACCCCGCACCGGAACACATAAACAGACTGCTAGGGATACACAGGCTCAGCGCTGCATGATCTGCAATTGCCACATCCACCCTGTATGCGCTGAGGGCGCCATCGGCATGATGTATGGACAGATGCAGCGTCTCAAAGCACTGCAGTGCTCTGCCGGTGGGCATACATTGCTTGCCCTGGAGTTGACGCATGAACCAGCGCTGCTGAAAGGTTGGCAATGCTGCGGGCCTGTACATACTCGCGACGCTCTCTTCTGCAACATGAGCGCGAGCGACAATGGGGCAAACACACATTTCGCCTGCTGCAACTGGCCTTCCGTACTATGGCCTGTGAGGTTTGGAGCTGTCTTATCTGTTGCAAACACAAGTCCCATGCAGTTTGTGCATTATGTTGTGTGGTTGTCTGTACTACCGTTGCTCGCCTGGGTGCGTTGACGCAGTGCTCATGAAATGTGTTACTTCAGTCTGAGGTGCTGTGTCAACCCACATCAGTCAGTCAAGAAGACGGGACAGCACAGTCGAAGGCTGACTGCTCACACTTCACCTGCATGGCTGTAATGCGCGAACATCAACTTGCAAACACTGCCGAGCACTACGGCCTGGGCACGCTGCTGCAACAACGTCGCTCTTGAATGTTGCACTTTGACAGAGAATGGCATACGTTGTGTCCACAAGTGTCGGCATGACAAACCGCGAAAGGAGCACGCAGCAGGCGGCACGTGCTGTATCCACAGTCAGCTTCCAACAGTAATGCATGGCACGCTGTGGTTGCTGGCTGACGAAATCCCGATGGCGACTGTGGTCGCCTTCAAAGACTGTAAAGGTGTGCGTTGAACACGAGACCTTTGGCAATGTGCACAACGTCAATTTGCTCACCTTGTCCCTTTCTATTCGCGCGAACTCGCCCCTGCGCGCTGGATCCAGGCATGAAGGCAGCCTTGACTGCAGCGTGGGAACAGGAGCCGAAATTAAGGAAGAGATCCACACGAATCAACTGCTTCAAGTGACACCGCCATCACATCATCGAGAGCAGCAAATCGGAAACTCAGCAGGCGCTTGACACAGCTACGAGGCAGAATAGCTGAGGCCGGACTTGCTGGCCTTTCATGCAAGGGTGGTGCGTATACAGATGTGGACCGGGGATCGCTCGCGAGCTAATAGCAGACGTACACAGCTCTGCTTTTATGCAAGTTGACTGAAGGCACTAGCGTGTGCCTCGGTCGGGTGTGCTGACCTGCGGCAACCCACAAGCTCCATACGATGCCATGGCCTTCCAGGGCAAGCCCAACTCTCCGCCAGCCTTCTGGTCCTTCGTGTTCCCTGCCAGGTGCTCTCTTCAGCACCCCACGGCGACCGGCCAAGCTACTTCCAGTTGAAGTTTTGATTTTTTCACTATAGATCTATAGACGTAGCTTCATGGCGGCAGTCAGCGCAGCCTGTGGCGCTAGAGCTCTTATGATGCCATCACGCTCCTTGTACACAATCGGGAACAGAGGCTTTGTGCACGCCTGCACTAGATCCACCAGCCCACTGTTTTCCTGCCTGATTGAACACGGCTGCATCTCTGCAGCACCGTCAGTGCCGACCCGCAATTTTGCTGGCTTGGCATCCACCATGAGGAAGAAACGAAGACGCAGCCTGAGCGACAAGCCTCCTCCGGGCGTAGAGGGAGAGGACTTCGTGCTGATACCTTGGACACCGGAGCAGCTGAAAAGCATCAGGGCGAAGGCAAAAGCGGAGGCAGACGCTTCAGTGAGTCCAGCTGTCGCCTGGCAGCGCGCCAGCAAGGGCAGGAACGTGAAGCTCAAGCAAAGTCTGAGCCAGCACTTGCTGACGGATCAGGGGCTGCTGGGCTATGTTGTGAGGCAAGCAGCTGTGGCGGAGGGGGATCACGTTTTGGAGATTGGTGCCGGCACAGGAAATCTCACTCAGGTACGCATCTGGTCAACTACCAGCCGCGATGTGTTTCGTGGCAAAAACGTTAATTTGGAAATCAAAGTACGTTGTCCTTCAATCTTTGGCAGACCAGGGCAAGCACCTTGGCCATCAAACCAGCTCCACCTGTGCGATGTGCAAGTATTATGTTGGGTAATGTTCACTGAAAACTGATCTTGACCTGCCATGCTGCAGACCTGGTCCCAAATCTCATGCATGCTCGTTGCTCAGTGAGCGTGCTCATGCTGTCATGCCACAGTTTCCTTGGCACCAGAGGCACCAGGTACTTATAATGCGCGCGCGCTTGACATATGCGACCCTTCCCCATGCGCGCGGCGGCTGTTGCAGGCCATACTGGACGCGCACAAGGGCGACATCTCTCACCTGACGCTCGTGGAGCTGGACAGGGACATGGCGCGCAAGCTTGCGGACCGCATCGACGCTCAGGGCTACGAGTTTACGGTGATGGAGGGCAACGACCGCACGCCCGCGCAGAGCATCCGCTTCACGCGTGCGATGAAGGCGAGCGCTGCTGTAGTCACAGAAAGTTTGCATGCTATGGCGTATATACATACAGACTGTGTGTGTATATGTAAACTCAGCTTTGGAGGACGATCGGCTTGTGAGCCCTGTGTCGGCGAGCATTTATGCATCGCCAGGACTGTGTGTGTATATGTGGCCTTAGCTTCGGAGGACGATCAGCTTGAAGGCGCTGTGGTGGCAAACATGTATGCATCGCCATGTAGCGCCGTAGGCCAGCACATGACCATTGCGGCATTCTCCGCTGTTCACCACGAGTGAGGACAGGCAGCCAGCCAGCTGGCAGCGCTGCTCTGAGCGACGAACGTTGTCATCGCCACATTGCGCGGGCCGGCACGCCTCCCCTCACAACACTGCTCAGCTCCTCATTCGCGCCACAGCATTTAGAACGGTGCTCACGCACCGATGCCCTTGTGACTACAGAAAGCGCTGCGCCGCGGCGCGTGCGCGCAACTGCAGTCACCCGACGCGGTCGCTCCGACAACGACGATGATGATCCCGCCCGCTACCATCACTTTGCTACCATCACTTTGAACCCAGTCCGTCACTCCGTTGTGTGCTTCTCTGATCAAGGACATGGCCGCCGTCGCGCTCATCGCTGCAGGTGCCGGGCGGCGACGGCGCGCGCCGCGACGTCGGCGTGGACATTGAGCGCTGCGACGTGCTGTCCGCGCGCCTGCCGCCGTTTGACGTGCTGCTGTCCAACGCGCCGTACGCCATCAGCCGCAAGCTGCTGGAGCGGCTCGTGGAGCTCGCGCTCGCACCGGGCTACCGCGTCGCCGTGCTCATGCTGCAGGAGGAGTTTGTCGACAAGGTCGGTGGGCGTAATTTACAATGATTCTGAATGTTTATGAATGCATCACTTTGAACACTTGTGAGCATAGCCGCAAGCTGCTGGAGCGGCTCGTGGAGCTGGCGCTCGCGCCGGGCTACCGCGCCGCCGTGCTCATGCTGCAGGAGGAGTTCGTAGACAAGGTCGGTGGGCGTCGCCTTCAATCATCATGAATGTTTGTGCATTTTTGTGAACGCTTGTGAGCGTGAACGAGGATGCGCGCCGCCGCGCTCATGCGGCAGGAGGGTTTCGTGGACAAGGTCGGTGGTAGCTTGTCAGGCTCGTGATCTGAAGGTCGCAGGTTCAAATCCTGCTCTCGCGTTTGGGAACATAGCGCAATCGGGAGAGCATATGCTTTCGTCACCTTGGATGATCATGAACGTTCATGATCATGAACGTTCATGATCATGAACGCTAGTGGGCATGAACGGGGACGCATGGACTCCCTGTTGCGGCTGTCAGGTGCTACGGGCAATCCTTGTTGCGGCTTGCACGCCTTACAGATCGGGCGCTTTGCACTATCTCAGCGATGGCCTTCAGTAAGGCGCACACCGACACCGCATATAGTGCCCAATCATGAAGTCCTTCACTGCGCGGCTCCCGCGCTAATCACTGCTGCACGCAGGCCGCTGCGTGTGCAGGCCACCCCCTGTACGGCGCACCGTCGGTGATCGCACACTGCGTCTTCATCGTTCATGCGCCGTGCAGATAGACATTTTGCCTGACTTGAGCAAGGGACTGACTGTATCACCACCACGACACCCCATCCATGAGTTACTGTCAAAACACGTTAGGGCCGTGATCTGATCGCTGCCGCACGCAGGCCGCCGCGCGGCCGGGCCACCCCCTGTACGGCGCGCCGTCGGTGCTCGCACACTGCGTCTTCATCGGTCATGCGCCGCAGACTGGCCATTTTTTTGCCTGACTTGCCATCACCACCACAATACTTCATCAATGAGTTTCTGTGAAAACGTGTGTGACGGCCGTGACTGCCGTTGCAGGCCGCCGCGCGCCCGGGCCACCCGCTGTACGGCGCGCCGTCGGTGCTCGCGCAGACGTTCCTGCGCGTCGAGCCGCTGCGCCTGATTGGGCCGCAGAATTTTCTGCCGCCGCCCAAGGTGTCCTCGCGCGTCGTGCGCTTCACACCGCTGGGCGACTCTGCGGTGCGTGCTCGCGTGTACTGTTCGCATGCGCTGTCGGTCTGTGGCGCTTGTGCAGTCTTGCGGTAAAGGTGCCGGTGGCGTTTGTGAATCAGGCACCAACGCTGCGGTGCGTGCTCTTGCGTACTGCTCGCACGCTGTGGCGCGCTTGCGCAGTCTTGCCGTCAACGTGCCAGTGGTGTGTGACTGAGGCGCTATGAGTGCCAAGTGTATGTCGCCATTAAAGTTGCTTTGGAAGAGGACTTCCTGTGCACGACGGTACGGCGGTGCGTGCAGAGCTACTTGCTACAAAGTCCACCGGCACAACATCCCCTGCTGCACGACTGCACTCATGCAATACAGACCAACAGCACACAAAGTGTGCACTCGTGCAGCAACGAATGTCGTGCCAGCGAAGTTTGTTGCTTGTTCATTGAGGGCGTTGAGTGTAGGTCCCACTGGCACGTTCTACTATTGTACTAGCATCAAAGTGTGATCAGTTCATTGGAGAGCTTATTGCTGGCAGCAGTGTTGTTACACGTGAGCGCTGCGTCACATCGCCCACTTCAAGTGATACGGGCAGACAGTACATGTTTGCTCCTCCCCCTGTTCAGTGAACATGCTGTGTCCATGGGTGTTTAGTGTCAATTGACAAGAGGGCGTGTGTTCATTTCAGCTGCGCGTCAGCTATCCACGTGCAGCCATCACGAGGTGCACTATCCTTTCGTGAGTGATGTCTGGCAAGAGCTGTGCATTTAACATGGCATTCCGTCACTGCATACGTAGCATGACTAAACAACCTGCGGTGACTAGGCAGCGCCGCCGCCGCTGCTGGCACGTTCACATTCTGGGTGCTGGTGTGACGTGGCTGACTTGCTCGCGTCGCAAAACACGCTGCGGTGATTAGGCTGCGCCACCGCTGCTGCTGGCAATCATACATTCTGAGTGCTGGTGTGACGCGGCTGACTTGCTCGCATCGCAAAACACCCTGCGGCGATAAGGCGGCCCCGCCGCTACTGCTGGCGATGTCACACTCTGAGTGCCGGTGGGTTGCGGCTGCCTTGCTCACTCACGCCGCTGTCGTTGGTTCACCGCAGGCGGAGGCCAGGCACGTCTTCCAACAAACGTCATCGTCAGAGCTGCTCGTGACCTATAGGAGGTAAGAAAAGATTTAACACGGTTGAGCTTGTGTGTACCTTCCAACTTGTGCGCCTGGCAGTGCGCACTCATTTGCGATGTCGCTGGCAAATATTGAAGCTGTCCTTGCTTGAAGTTGTTGAAGCTCCCATTGTGTTGCATCATGTGAACATGCATGATTGACAGAACTGCGTAGTTCATAGCCCCCGCTGGTATGATGCCATGCAGAGACAACACTTCTTGCATCGAACACCGCATTTTTTTTAGCCTTTTCTGGCATGAAGCATCTTCCCGCCTTTTCTGAGGTGGCCCAAGCACCGGCTCAGCTACACCAGATCGCTCATATTAGGCGGTTTTCTGAATCATGCAGGTTCTTGGAGGCTTGCTTCCGCAGCCGCAACCGCAAGCTGCGCGGCATCCTGCGCGATGGCGTCACCGCCGTCCCCAGTGCTCCACATCAGCCATCAGATGAATTCATCCGTGTTAAAGTGGATGAATTGATTTCTTCACAGGGGCTTCTCGAGAAGCGGCCCAACAGCACCGGTGTAAGAGAGTTCTGCACGTTGTTTGTGCGCCTGCATGAGGCGGGGCTTCAGCTAAAATAGCAAGTATCCATGGCCGCATGCCAGAGCTTTGAGCTTGCATTTTGTTTTTGTGCTTGTCTGTGACCTACGCCAACCTCGTAGCTGCTTGGTGTCATGTGTGTACGTCAGCTGCGTGTTCTCTGCAGCAGACCCCAGGATGTGCAGCAGTGTCGCAGCAGAAGGCATGAGAGCGTTTTACTTGGTGTGGCGAAGAGCAGACAGGCTGGCACAAGAAACCATAGCATCGCATCGCACTGGACTGGTGTGTTGTGCTGTTTCACCAGCTAGGTCCTCTGCTGAGGCTGTGAGCTAGTCGTTGTTAGTCGGTGCCAAGCAAGGAAGTTATGCACATGCTGCTGCTGCACCGGAGATACTGTGCAATCTTTATCACTCTTTTTCATGCCTGTAAAAGGGATTGATATGCGCCATGCCACTTCGCAAGTGCATACTGAAGTGTCTTCCCTGCATGGGTCTGCGCACGCTCGTAACGTTGACGTGTATTAAAGGCGTTTACTTGAAAACCACCATCTGCATGGGCCACAAGGTTGTAATTCCCCGGTGCTATGTGTGTCATGATGTGATGTCATGATGTGTACTTTGATGCGGTGCCACTGGTACACAAACGTGAGCGCATATGTGTGAATAGTCCAAATCAGCATCATCGGATAAAGTATTGCTACTGTAATGTCATGCGCTCCTAACGATGTGGTACCCAGTGGCATGCACAAATATGAATACTTGAAGTTGCCAGTTATAACGTGAGGAATTCAGAACTTGCCATTTTCTGGGAGTCACATCAGCCTTGCTGCGTGGTTGCACAACGCTCTTTCATTCGTATTATAGAAATAAATGATTGTGAGGCAGCAGCCTGTATGGAAGAATGTGTGCTTCGAGTTGATGACATTGCAGATGTTTTGCAAAATGAAATGTGGTACAGGCCTGGTATTCAAGTGATACCGTGATTATCATCTTCCCAGTGTTGACCGCCTTAAATGCTGTACGAACGCTGTTGCTGAACAAGAGGGCCAGTTCCAGACCCTACTTGGTGGTCACCCCAGAAAAGCCTCTGAACATTGTGCGCATGAATCAGGATACGTGCTTTTGACTTAAACAAAGAAAGTGGTGCTGATGATTTATTGAATGATCACAAGAGTGACCGTTGCCGTTGCCATGGCACACTTTCTTGTGTCACACTGCGTTCAGTGTTGCCTACGTCCACACAGGGCGCAGAGAATTATCTTGAGGTAGGTGCACAAATGCAAAGCATGCAGCAGATACGACACAATTCAGCAGAGCACACTGAGACCTGTGCACTCTCAGGCTCTATTGTCCTCTATACCTGTCTCCGACCGCTCGAGAAACGTCAGGGCCCAGACTATCTGTCATGCAGCTCTTGCCTGCAGTACGCACCCAAACCATAAAACAAACATGTAAATGGACCCCCACCGCAGATGATATCTGTCAGAAAACAAACATGTAAATGAACCCCCACCGCAGATGATATATCTGGTTCGGAGGGTGCTGTCCACAGGGCAGTGACATGCTCACACATTGAACAGACACAAGCTGAGAGCCATGATAGCCATGCCAGCAATCAGGCACTTGCTGGTGACGCCGTCGTACGGGTCGTGCCGCACCGCGGTGGGTATCAGCTCCTGCAGGCAGATGCATACCATCATACCCGATACCAGGCCGAAGAGGACGCTGTAGACTACTTCGTCAAAGGTGTCCCTGAGGATGAGCCATGCCAGCGCTGCGCCGACGGGCTCGCTGGCACCGCTCAGCACCCCCCAGCAGAAGGCCTTGCACCTGGGAACAGCAGTTTGCAAAAGTGGCAGTTGCGGTCTGTGCACTGGCAAGTATTCGGTGCCTGATGGTGCAGTCTCAACAGCGACATTGATTTTGCTGCCAACACACTTATGTCATGCATGTGCTCATGCTGGTGTTTTGAGCGGGCGCACACAATAGCACCAAGAGCAGCACACACTTCTGTATTCAAGAAAAAATTGATTTTTGTATGCTTTGACTGGAGTACTCAGACGTCGATGACGTACATTGGAAGCACATGCCAAGCGACATATGCCTGCAGAGCCTGCACGCATGCTTGCACCCAACAGCCGACCTCGTGCACTGGCCAGATGCGATTAACCCGCACCGACTGCTGCCTGACCACCACAAAGCTATATTAAAAAGATACACGTGAGCACTCATGATGCAGGGGCTGGTGCGGACATCTTGAGAAATGTCCGTGAGACACAGTAATAGTGGTATATGACGTGCTGCTTGTTAGCACTCCTTCATACTACCTCGACGTATATGAGTTCCATGTTGCTGTGCAGATGCACACTGGCGGTTGCATCATGAAAATGGAGAGCACATTCACTACCAGGCATGGGCTTGCGCGCGTCATGTCACCTGTTCTCTGTTGCATAATATATTGGCACAGCCACGCAGATGCCTTC